CCCCAAAACCCCAAAACCCCAAAACCCCTATCTTATTACAACATATTGAACTAATATGTAACCCAAACTCTACCCTTAGATACCAAAACTAGAAAATGAACCATCTCAAATAAACCCCAAGCACTTTAAACAACCAGAGATGATCTCAAATACATATCTTCCAACAACTTATCCACTACAATGCTAACTAAACAAGGTTTCAGCTTCCCTAATCATTTCAGAGAAGAATATTGACACTATCTAATAAATCATAGACACTTTAGCACATTAGTGATTTACTCAATTTGAACTCTAAAACAACTCCCTTTGTCTGCCTAAACAGTAGCCATCTCCTTCAAGAGTTTGAAGGAGAATTACATTTTATCATAACTCAAATGTCCCTCAGTTTAAGGGATTATTAATAATTATCAGCCTTATTTTCTACTTATTATTCCTACATACAGTTATTTAAGCCATTTATTTGATGGTTTGGAGATACATTTTGAAACGAATACATGTTCAAAGATAAGACTTGACTTTCCCTACCCTTGAAAGCATGAAATTTGGAATGAATTTCTTTAAGAAAATAATTTCATTAATAAAAATACAATAATCACTTGAATTACTCTAACTCATATTAAACTTCAAGCATTTCTTTATTCTAATGCGATCGAAATGAGGCAAACCGATATTTGGAACATGTTAACTTCTCTAAAACAGTTTTAAAAGTGTCTTGCCAAATAATCTTTAACCCCACATTGTCTTTATGGTGCTCAGAATTATTCATGTCTTAAATAGGCCGGACAAATCTTTTCAGGTTTGTCCAATTCCATTATTTAACGAATTCTCCCTTAAAATCCTTCCTGAATTCTAAAATTCAGGTAGGATTTGAGGTTGAAATCTTAAAGCTACTCTAAAATTTTACTTCCAAATCTCTTGACCAAATAGTGTGTGAATAAGTACAGAGATTGGTCTATATAGTACTTTGAAAAGTTAAGAGACTGAATGCAGGAATAAATTTGAGTGACATACAACACCTGGTCCCTGGGGATATACATTGATTTCCAGCATTTACCTTTAGTTTTAGACTTGCAGAAATATAAGTTAATTTTTATAATTTAGATACTGCTGTTGAAAATTTAATAGAATGTCTGAGTAAATTCTAATTATTCTTCATCAGTAGTTACATAAACCTTAAACTTTCATTTTTTGATGCTCTGGCAATGATTTGCTAGATGTTTGATCGCATGAATTTTTCAGGAAGTGGTGGATAGAGATTAATACCACTAACTTATAAAATTTTAGAAACCAAAGTAAGATTAGGAACAAGATAAATTTATGAAGGAATTGAGAAGATAAAATAAATTGAAGATATAATTTGATACTGGGAAATTTAGAAAAGATCATTTTAATTATTTAAGAATTAATAGCACAAAAGCTTCAGATGGCAAGACAAAACTTGCCCAATAGGGGTATAAATAACTCTCCATTGCTTTGGGTCTTTTTCCTCATGGTAAAAGAGTAAATTCATTTTTTGGATATGGCTATTGTCTTTTAAAATTTCAAAGAATGTCTTCAATATTTTCACTCTTTCTGCATCATTTTGAAACTTAAACCTAAATTCTCATTTCCAGATGCTCTTTCATTTCTCTGCTAAATATTTGACCATTCAGATTGCTTCTGGAAATAAAGTATCAAATCCTATATTTAGATCATTCAGGTTTAATAACACAGCTTCAGTCTTTATTTTCTCATAAATGCTTGCTTCCAATGAAATCATATTTGTTTCAACAGTAAATCTTTCAAAGTTGAGACTTAATTTTACAGGTATTTTGCACATTTGTTTGTAGTCGTATAGGCATCTAAAAGATAACTTGCTTCCTTCAAAAGATCCAGGATTTATACTCAGATCTTGGTTATATCTGTCGATAGAATGGTTACTACTGAGTTTGGCATTGAATCTGTGCTTTTGCTTGAACGATCATGATCTTGATCATCTTTACGATTGAATTTCTGATATTCATTATTTTCTCAATCTATCAACTGGATGTCAACTCCTCAAACTATTCCTAAAACAGCCAAAATGCTAGCTATTTGAATATGCTTTTCAGAATCCACTAATAAATCATCACTGGTTTTCACTTTTCAGTCTCTAAGGTAGTAGGTAATTTGTTTGCCATTTTCAACTAAAGTTACAACTGCCTTGCTGCATAAAATATCAAACTTTGAAATTTCTGCGAAAGCTCCGTAGCCAAATACTATCTTTCAATGGGGGAATATTTCAATTGCTTCTCGGACAACGACAGCTCATTCATACTTCAAAGTTCCAGTGTCTAAGTGAAAACACAAAGACTCAAGTCTACCTCATTTGTTTTTGATAGTCTTAAGCGTGTCGCTATTGCAAATTTTATGTGGATCTAATCTTTTTCAAAAACTGAATATTATCTCCTCTTTCGATTCAAAAAATAAATTCGGAATTTTCAATGTTTTATCTGTAAATTTGTTGAGCTCGCGGTCATTGTTGATGTAAAATAGTTTTCTTGATTCTCTCTTTATAGTATCTGCGTCAAGCCTTGAAAAGTCTTTATCAAACCAGACATTTGATCATGAATCAAGCAGTAATAATTCGTCTGTCCAAGTTACGCCGAAACTTAAGATAAAAATCTCAGGAACCTTGTACAGCTTGATAGGCTTTGTGTGCAATTTGTACTGATAGTGTTGAATTTTTAACTTTTCCAATGTTAATTTTTCATATTTTTCATTTATTATTTCTCACAAAACCTCAAGCCTAGCAGGTAGATCTTTCAACGTCTTTACTGTCTCTTGCAAGCCATTCGAGCCTTTAGTTCCTCTTAAATTTTGGTAATCAGCAGCTGGTGATGTCAAATTCTTAATGAGATCAAAATTTCGATCTGATATCTGAATATAATAAATTTCTATTGGAAGAGACTCTTGAACAAACTTGACTGCTTTCTCTATTTCTTTGTAATTCACTCTGAAAAAATACTTCAGGAACAACCGAGGTCCCACAGTTGCTACTGGCTCTATATTCTCAACAAGGATTGGGTACATTCACTGTTTCCAAGGAGAGAAGACCTTGCTCCACTTGTAGATCTGGGTCAGCCAGATCCGTCTGGACTCGGAGGTGAACCTGGTCATGAACAGGTGCACTCAGTCTGGGCGAGAGTAGAACGGAAGGATCTCTGATATCGTCATAATCGAAGAGAAGATTTGAGAGAGATGAGGTTGAGTTGTGGTCATTAGTAGAGAATAGAATGAGCCAGAAAGAAGAACAAAAAGTTAATTATTATGAACCAAACATTTTCAAGACTTTAGAACTCTCACAGTCTCAGCTCTTCATCTCATATCTTCCTCTACACTTAGTTCTTCAGAAGCCATTCAGTCAAACTCTAGAAGAAGAGACTCTGAAGGATTTGATTTTAAGCATGATAAACACAAAATGAGTGGGTATGGAAGCTTGGAGGCCTATAGGCTAGGACTTACACCCATCTATGCTAGTACTCTGTGTATTGTTTTGTAGGAGATGGGCCAATGAAGAAATTTATCTTGGAGCTGGGTCATGGCGGCTGAAGAGGGATTATATTCTTCCATTTTCCATGTCATAAACTCTTCTATTACTATCCACCCCAAATCTTCCTTCCATAGCCCTTAAATCCTGCATGACTGACCCATTAATTTCTTCCCTAAATCCCTATTCCATTACGGTGATTCTTACCTATTTTGGACAAGTCTTCCTTTGGCAATCAAGGGTCTTAGAAGGCTGCTCTCACTTGGTCCTTGGCCGATGCACTGTGCCTGTTAGAGATAGAGTCTGCATTGGATTGGATGGGGAAGTGCAGGGTGGGAGAGGTGGGGTAGAAGGAGTCAAAGAGCTTGAGAAGAAGGGGAGGGAGGGATGGAATTGAGTTTTAGGATATTTTAGAGGAGTTTTGGGGGAAAAAGTTATTGTGTTTGATTAATTTTACCTTGATTTTTATGACATTTTTAGGTAAACAATGATATATTTAAAATCACCCATATCACTCTCAATATAAATCTTCTCTCCTGGGGTTTTGGGGTTTTGGGGTTTTGGGG